GTCTATAAAAATATTTTGATTCTCCAACACGGACTAATAGATTGGTCTAGAACCATACCCCCCAGTTTTGACAATCACTTTTTATGTCTATAAAAATATTTTGATTCTCCAACACGGACTAATAGATTGGTCTAGAACCATACCCCCCAGTTTTGACAATCACTTTTTATGTCTATAAAAATATTTTGATTCTCCAACACGGACAAACAGTTTGGACTAGAGCCATATCCCCCCGTTTTGACAATCACTTCTTAGATCTAAACTTTGTTTGTAGCGTGAGAGGTATTATATTTGTCCACAAACACACAGAAATACCTAAATCAGAAAAACAACACATAAAGTTCGTGTACAATTCTTGTTGCAACTGGCTTGGAATTACTTATAAGTGTAATACATATTTCTACATTATTCTCGACTTCAAATGAAACAATTAATATTGAGTTGTCTTATGGATGCATTCGGTCAAATTGATTGTTATGTGGATTTTAAGCGATCTCTACAGTTCTTTACTTTTGCATTTTTTAATGAACTTAATATGTACTTCAAAAGAACATGAAAGTGCAAACATTATGCATTCATGAAAATGCCGTAGAAGTGATTAAATGAACTTGTAGGAATGACGATAAGATTCCTTTTTAAAATTTACGTTAATTAGAAAAGCCATGCCTTAAAACTGTTTTTATTTTCTTGGATATCAAGTACGTAAATAATCTTAAATTACAACCATATAGATAAAAGTTTATTTTTTAAGTAACAGTCATTGGAACGAAAAAACAACAACATTGTAATGTATAAGAATAATTCATTATGAACCATTATAACATGTATTTTTGTTTTGTTTTTTCAATTGAGGTGAAAAGCAAAGTTCCCTTAGAATTTCTACAGTCCCTTTATTATTTATTCAGTAATTTTGGTCATCTATTTGCATCAAACTTTTGAGAAACATAAAAAAAAACAAAGCAATGATAAAACACGTTTAGAGATATAAAGAGTACTTGAGATTAAAAAAAATGTTATCCCAAAAATATTTTTGTATCTTCTCAAAAAATAAAATATAAAATCAGCATAAGTCTTCATTACGCAGCAAACTTTAACACGAAACTACTCTAACTAATCACTACTGCTCTAACTAACCACATCAAATATGTGGCTCTTACCTGGATTATCCCGTTCGCTTCCCTGGGTGGTTTCCATGACAATTCTACTGTTGTTTCACTGTCCACCCGTACCTGGACATCTTGCGGGGCAGTGGCAGGGACTTAAAATACAAGAGTAAGCGATATTAAAACAAAAAGCAGGTAAAAAACAACAACAATCCAAACTCTGAGTATTAAATTCTACAGTGAAATAAACTATCACCTATATATATATCTATATATAGAAAGGAGAGAATGGATAGTTTTTTCTTACCTCCTGTTTTAGTTTTCACCGTCAACGGGGCGCTAGGTTCACTAAAACCAAGTTTGTTCACAGCTAGGACGTAGAAAACATATTCATTAAACGGAGTGAGATTCGATATCGTAGCAGTTAAGTTTGTCGATGTAGCTTCTAAATACCGGGTAGAATAAGAATCTTTGTACTGGATGATATAGTGTGTTGGAGGGAACGTTTCTCTTTCTTTGTTGAATCGCCACGAAATTGTCACAGATGTCTGATTGACGTGAACAGCTTCCAGGTGTGTTGGTGTCTCGTGAAAACCTACAACAAATATAAAACATAACACATTTTCATCGAAACAGCTAAAGAGCGGTCTTTTAACCAACTCTACAGTGTATAAATATGTTGCAAAAAATCACATATTTTTCTTATTTTAGAGGGGTTTTAAGATGGGCAGATTGGACTGGATTTGAAGGTTTTATGGACTCCATCTTCTTTCATCTACTATGGCATTTTATTCTTATAATTCCTCTCTTCCCAACTACCATATAATTGTGTAATAATGACATTTTAATCTTTTAATTCCTCTATTACTAACTACCATTTAATAGTGCATTGTTGGCTTACACTTTTTTTAACCCTTCCAGCGTTTTAATGTCACTTTGTCACTTGATGTTATTGATAAATTATCTTTAACATATACTTCTTTAGCCCTTAAATTTTAATGTTGATATGAAATACTACATTTGACGAGCATTCTGCAAGTTAGAAGACAACAGAAATTGCTGGGCGCTATGAGAACAGAAGGTAAACTGAAACATGTTGACTTACGTGATAATATCACTTTGGTGTCAGCAGTGAGAGTTCCAAGCGGAGACGAGACAAAACAGGTCAACGTATGCTCTGTCCAAATCCCCTTGACGTTTAATACAGCCTCATACTCCCCTTCAACCAGAACTTTGGAGCCGTTTCTCCATTGTACAGTGGGCGCGGGTTCACCGCCGGCAACACACTCCAATGTTAGGTTGTCGCTATAGATAATATTGACCCTTGAAGGTGGACGCTCCACGAAGTATGGAGGAACTTGTACCGCTGCAAACATTTCAAAACGTGGACATGAATGTAAACTAATAACCACACAAATAATAACGATTTTTGTAAAAGTCTTGACAATGTTAATTGCAACGAGAGAGGAAAAATCTTAAAAGTAGAAATATTGATGGACTATATGGACTGAAGTGATACAGTACCTCATTGGAATATAAGGTCTGATGCAATTACTAGCGACAACGTTTACTAATATAAAATTTAAAACCTTTCTTTTCATAATTTCGGATCTGTTTTATTTATAGCTCACCAGTGGCTCAGCGGTAAGTCTGTAGGTTTAGAACGGTACAAACTGAGTTTCGATATTCGTGGTGGGCACAGCACAAATAGTTCAACTGTGTAGGTTTTATTTATAGCTCACCAGTGGCTCAGCGGTAAGTCTGTAGGTTTAGAACGCTACAAACTGGGTTTCGATATTCGTGGTGGGCACAGCACTGATAGTCCACTGTGTAGGTTTTATTTATAGCTCACCAGTGGCTCAGCGGTAAGTCTGTAGGTTTAGAACGCTATAAACTGGGTTTCGATATTCG